TCCACAGCCCTCCTGAAGTGCAGCGCCCAGAACTGGATGCAATACTCCAACTGCAGCCTGACCAGTGTCACATAGAGGGGGAGGATCACCTCCTTGGACCTGCTTGAGATGCATCTGTGGATGCATGACAAGGTACGGTTGGCCTTCCTGACTGCTTTCCCACACTGTCGGCCTATGTTCATTTTGGCATCAATAATGACTCCAAGATCCTTTTCTGCCTCTGCACTGACAAGAAGGGAGTTCCCCAGCCTGTAGGTATGCTGCTGGTTCTTCCTCCCCAGGTGCAACACCTTGTACTTGTCAGTGTTGAAACCCATCCTGTTCTCATCCGCCCACCCCTGTAACCTGTCTAGGTCTGATTGCAGCCTATTCCTCCCTTCTAGCATGCCCACTTCTCCCCACATCTTAGTGTTGTCTGTGAATTGAACAGGGTACTTTTTACACCCTCATCCAAGTTGCTGATGAAGATGTTGAACAGTGCGGGCCCCAGGACCGAGCCCTGCAGTCCCCTAGTTTTTTTAATGAGAATGGTAGGGGTATAAACTTAGGGAAATTAGGGAGAGGTATAAACCACCATGCTGCCTGCACCATCCCAGGCTTTTTCCCACTTGCTTCTCAAGGGGTGGGAGTGTTGACAGGCCACATCCCCCAGCTAGCTAGCACTCTGAGGCAAAGTGGGGAGGGGTGTACAGTACATGCATCTGATGATACTGAGCTTTTCAGTCTCCCTCTCCCTGCTTCTTCATACTGTCTGCAAACCTGACAGGTGAGGGAGCCAGCCGGGAGCTGATAACAGCATTTATCCACCCATCAACAAAACAAAAGCCTCTCTCATTAGTTCAAGTTCTTCTTAAATAGCTTTCTCCAGGGAAGGAAGGAGGGACATTACCAGCTGACCTGTTGATTAGCTCCAAAAAGCCCTAAGTGGTCACTGTTCTGTCTGCCTATCCCAGTGAAATTGGAGAGACACACACACAGGAATCTCCCAGCATTAGCTAGCATACCACATGCCTAGGGTCCATGGGGCTGGAGTCTGTGTTGTGGGAGATGGAAGGGGGGATCCCTGCTTGAGTAGCAAGTGGCGAGGGAGGGACAGGGGAAGCCAGGCAGATGCTGCTGTGCCTGCAGTTTCAGCCAGAACTTTAGCTAGGGAGTAAAGGGGTGGGTCCAGCCCTGCTTTCTTGAGCAGACAGAACAACTCAGCCTAGCACAGCACAGTCCAAGGTTGCACAGTATCTGGGATGCTGGGGGACTCTGGTTTAACTTAAACCAGGAAGGGGTCTGGGACACACATTGCATACATGGGTTTGACCTAAATCAGTTAAATCTACTATTATATTCGACCAGGTTTATCTCATTTTGAAACTGGTTTATGTGCACTAAACTTAAGTTCTTTTACAGGTTTAAACCCATTTCTGATCACTTAAACCAGTTTGTGTGTAATGTCTATCCCTAGCCCTAGTGTCTGAAAAGTTGTCTAACAGGCCCCCTGACTATACAGTTGGTCCAATAAAAAATAAAACCAAAAAAATCCTTGCCTCTAGTATATTTCTTGGACCACCAAGACTATAACACTACTCTGATCCTACTATAGTTTTCTGAAAGAAAATTCACCAGAAAATGAATATTAGTAATGTGAATTAAAAAGGTTTTGTGCTCCTTAAATGTTCAGACAGTGCTATGTAACCTCTCGGTTCAAGTGCTATGAAACAATGCAATTGGTGATTACATCCTACAAAAAGAGGGCTCTAAAAAGGACTTTGGCATGATGCTGGCTAGTAAATACCAACCTGTGGCTAAAAGGGCTAATGTGATCCCTCAGTATATAAGTATGGGGATTTGTTTAATTTTAACTGGTACTGGTGCAATAAGGATTCTTAGGTGCAGCTGTACTCCTATTCCAATAGTATAACTAGGGCCAGATGAAAGGGGCACAGCTTTCAGCACTGATGTAGGAGGGTGGCTTCAGCTACCCTTGCTTTGTTGGGCATGTTGGTTCAGGGCATACTGAGATGTAGTCAGGAGTCATCCACTTTAGAAGTTTTCTCCTTTTGCTGCAGTTGGCTTCATGGGGCAAGCTGTACTGCTAGTAGTCAATCGTGTGCAAATTCTCCAGTAGGCAGGGCAAGTTCTCTCCCAGAGCAGGGCAGGTCTGGTAGGAGGGAATGGCTCCTTTCTTTGCCTTCCAAGCCAGGAGCAGGGAACTGTGAGGAGCAGGAAGGGAGTATGAGAGGTTTTTGGGAGAGGCAGGGGAGTGCAAGCAAGGAGCAACTCAGGAGGAGGAGCTGGGCAGCTGGGCTCCAGCAGGATCTAGCCTGCAGCTGACTGGCCCTTCTTCCCAAATCTGTGTGCTGTCTCTGACAGCACTATCTTATGGCGGTGTTAATTAGTTTACTGAGGCCTAATAGCATTCCATGTGTAGACAGTAAGGCTTTTTGCCCTGCATGCTACTGCGCAGTAGAATCAGGCAACTACACAGTTAGTGTCTTGTGTAGATGTTCCCAGTAAGGGTTTGCATGTGTAGATGGTGATGCTTACCAGACAATAATTTGCTCTACTGCACAGTAAAGCAACTTGTGTAGATGAGTCCTCTGTCTGCATTGCACTTCAAGCAGCTAAGTGCTTTTATGTATTGAGCCAATTATCCCAAGCTGATTTTAAGTCTTATTACATCTCGTAATCTTAAACTTTTGATTCATGAATGTTTTTTACAGCTCCTTTTGGGGTTCCTTTAAATAAATTAATCTAAGTCAGCTGGAAATGGAAGGAATTTCATTTTTAGCAATGTGCTTCTTATGCATGTTTTAGAATAGGTGTGTTTATTTTTCCTTATGAAAATGTTGGCATTCCTATCAAATAGTGACCTATTACTCAAGTAACTGAAGCTGAGGTATAATGTATAGTCCATTATTGCAGTAATAGTCCAGAGGGATAAAGCAGTGCTGATGCCATAAATAACAGGAGAGACTAATTGTGAAGTTGTTCTACTATTCCAGTGTTTATAGACATATTTATCCTCTTTTTTACTTAGTCATCCAGTTAGTAAGCAGTGATTATAATGAAATGAGAAAAAGAAAATCCTGTATTGTACATAGCATACTAATTCACCAACTCTTACTGGGAAGAAAATGAAATGCAGAGGTATTAAGACTATGATTTTTTCTCCCAGATTGCTTGGTGGTGCCTATTCTTTTTCTGGCTCTGTTGTGTAATAAGCACTACTGTAGTGCTGTCATCATTTAAAACTTCTGTAGTGCTCTCAACATTTAAAATCACAAGCACCCTCTTTTTCCATTTATGATTGCAAAATATGTCTCTGTATCTTCAGCAACTACTCACACAGAAGAGCAGTATTAGGAGAGTGTTTAATATATTTCTACCATGTTTTTCAATCCTTATGTTCTCCCTCTTAGAGTGAAACTATATATGGTCTGTTGCTAGGCGATCATCCTCAATTGCAGATGCAGGAGCAGAAGTTATAGAAGTAGGTAAATGCTATGTGCTGTATCTATTTTATCATCTCTGTATCTGTGATGCCATTATAAACATTCTCTGAAGAGAATTCTGATTCTCATGAAAGATATTGCTAGTAAGGTGGACTTCGATTTTCTGCAAGTATCATTCTTAAACCATGTCAATTAGTACATGTTTAAGCGCAGATCAGAGAAAGAGATTGTGATGAGAATAACAGTTATAATTCACAGGATGCTTTATCCTAAATCTAAAAAATAAAACTTTTATCCTCTCACCATCAAGTTATTCAAACAAAAGATACTTCATTACCTCACAAATCTTCCTTCTAACGAAAAGAAACAGTTTATCTTCTGACTAATATTCACAGAATTAGAATCTGTCTGCACTAAAGAAATGCACTATTTAAAGCATCCTTTCAAACATCAGTGGAGTGTGAACTGTTTCAGCCTATCCCATTTTAATATCTGGAATTTAGCTAGGACACTACCCAACAGGTTAAATAATTCTCCTGGACGTAGAGAATGCTTGCACTCATCCTGCAGAGTCAGTTTTGGAGGTGTTTAGCTGGTATAAAACTGGAGTCCAGGCCGCCTCATGTGTCAGGCAAACTGCACATACAGGACCTATAGTGGACCACTTGTCTCCTGGCTTCCAAACATCCTATTCAAGGAAAAACCAAGAGCATCCAAAATGGACTTCACCTGGTCTTGGTCCAAGGCCCCTCCCCTCAGAAATGAGTTACCAAATAGCAATATGAAAAGAATTTGTCCCGAATATGGAAAAATTAAGTTTCATAGAGTTTACTGTGTCCCAAATACAAACAGAATGAACAACAATGAAATATGGTTAGTGTAGAAAGATACCTATATATATATATATAGAAATTGACAAACATACCTGGAAGGACAGTGATGCTTACCCAAAAACATTTTTTATTCAAAGCTGCCTGGAGGCTCAAGAAGCTTCTCAGCAACATTTCCTTTTCCCAGGAGTGCTGAAACAAGAAAATAGAAATCCAAAATGAGGGTAATGGATAGCATGTCTGGGTACATTTCACTTCTCAAGTAAATCCACTTAATTTTCCTATGATGTGTTGGCACACACGTCTTAGTTGTCCTCACATATTCAGGACAAATGCAAGATTTTTGCTGAAACAGATGGTGGGGAAACAAAGGAGAAGAGAAGAAAAATGGATAGGACGGTAGGGGAATGAAGAATACACTTTGGTTAGGTCTCAATCCAGATGACTCCAGTCTGGCTCTTAGGAGGATTTGAATATGCGAAGAGAGTTTAGATCAACTACTAAACCAGGAGTGAAAGTAACAAAAAATAACACAGAAAAGAGAAAGAGAGCAGTAATTAAAAAAAAAAAAAATGTGAATGTCTTCAATAACAGGAGGGGGGAAAAAATCTCTTTGCCTACTAATAAGACGTATTCCTCACAGTATATTTAGATCCAGAGATGGTTCAGCAAAACCTTAGGGAATACTACACAATCTTGACTTGACCTTTCAGAGACCATGCTCTCAACACAAATTTGTGGGTTTATCAATAAGTGAAGCCACTACAATCAGTCTACTGTTTGATTTACCAAGTTTAGCAGCACGGTCCTGAAATACCAGTTCCAGGTCTAAATCAGGAATGCTATTTTTCCAAGGGATAATCTTTTTCTGAACATCAGTCCATTCTGTTTGGTTATCCATTTCAACTGAATTTGAACCTAAGAAGATGTGTTAGGATTAGTTGTATAGACATGGAAAATACTGGTATTATAATGCAACTGCTCAGTGTCTTAGTAAAGTAACATGCCCCAAACAGTGTCTCTCTCTCTCAGAGTCACATGTCCTCATTAATCTGTACACATTATGCTAATTTGAATATGAGATACCCTTAATAGCATCACACAAATAAATTTCTCTCCCAAGATTTTAAAATTAAATTTTGTAGAGCAAATACACTGCTACCACTAATACACATCCATTATACTTAAAGTATTACATGTTTATAGTTTACCCTTGTCTTGCTGAGACCAGTCACTTGGCTTTAGGTCAAGAAGTTCAGCTCGAGAATGATACCACTGATATGTTGATGGCAAAGGAATGCTAGTGAATCTGGTAAATTTACAAAGTGAGATCCACTCATCTTCAACAAGTTCTGAAAGGCGTGGAAGGGTGTAAAATATCGTCTGCAATGCAACAAAACAGTTTCAGTGCAACGTCAGGAAAAATAGCTGTAAAAAGATTTTAAAAAAAACTAACTAGGGGTACACCAATATATCGGTTGGCTATTGGATCGGCACTGATAAAAGGAGAAATGATGTGGTCAGCTATCGGCTTTTTTTGGTTGTTGTAGCCAATAATTACAGCTGTGTGCCTGGAGCGCCCTGGCAAGTGTAATCTGGTCCCTGTGCCTGCCTGCCAGATTAAGCCCACAGCAGAATACTGGTCCTGGCAAGCAGCAGGAAGGGGAGGGGGCGCTGGGGAGTGGTCACAAGGCGCTCCACCCAGCATCAAAGGGACCGTTCATTACTGGCTCCTGCTGCTGCTGTCACTTTCATGGCAACACCGTGTGCACAGCAGAGACCTGAGCATTGGGGCTGCCACAGAGACACCGTGCTGTGCATGGGCGGGGTTGTTGTCTCATCATACGTATACTGTTTTTATGTCACACAAATCCATTTAAAGTAGCAAAGGAAAGAAATCTAGGACAAGGAAGTTTAAGCAGGAGAAAACACTACATACGCTCATAGACAATGTGTTGGAGTTCCTCCTGTGGCCAGGGGACACCTGAGTGCCAGCAGCACCTCATCCTGTCCCAGCTGCTGCCTCAGGCAGGCTCCAGCACCACTGAGAGACAGAAACAAAGATCCAAAGGGGGTCCACACCTCCATTCCCCATTTTTACCAGAACCTTTAAATTGTGTCCCCCTCCGTTATCAACAGTTACAAGTTGCCTATGTATACCTCGCAGATGTTTCTGGGACTGTTAGATCTGGAAAAGGCATCTACTAAGCATGGAAATGGAAAGAGTACAGAACGGCACTAGTGGGAAGATAGGGAAAAAGTGCAGTGGTTCAGAACGAAACTATCTCATCTATCTCATCTATAAACGAACTATAAGCTATCTCACTGGTTCAGTTAAGAGTAGTTCAGTTGCCTATTTTAGACTTGCAGATTGTCAAAGTTAACTGAGGTTAGAAAAAGACACACAATAAATAGGAAGACAAGTGAAACCTAATCAATTTAATGTGCAGACACTTTTTCCATTTCAAAGAGATTTTTTTTTCTAGTTAGCTAATATATTCTCAACACATTATTAAGAAGGTGTGGAAGAAATTTGCTCTGTTGTGGAATGGGGCCATGCTAACCTTGTTCCAATATGATTCAGCATGTTTTTACTGTGGTGCTTTCCCGCTGTCTCCTGGACAGGGACTTTTCAAGTGAATTCAATTACATGTCCTTATAATTAAGAGAGACGTGTGATATTTGTTCCACGCTAATCACTTCTTTGAGTTGCACATGGCATTAACTTATTTGCAGGAAGTGACATGTCCTTCAGGACTTTGACTAATTCAGAGGAACTTTAGAGCGTTATTCAACCTGTGGGTTGTGGCCCAAAAGTGTACATGAAAGGATCAAGAACAAATTTAAAAAATGAACAATTTAACACACTTTAAAAAGTGATTCTTGATTAAAAAAGAAAAATGTGGAAAACCATGGCTTCTCAAAGATGTAATAAATTTCATAGACAGGACTGGGAGCTACCTTGCAAGATCATTGGGTACAGCCTCCTGCCCAAGGGGCAGGAAGTCTGCTGAGGTCAAATGATCCCAAAAAGATAAGCATCCAAATGTGTCTTAAAGGTGTCCAGAGAAGGTTCTTGCACCACTTCTGGGGGCAGGCTTGTTCTCTTGTCTGATCATGTGCGTGGCTCTCCTCTGGACTCTCTGGAGCTTCTTCACATCTTTCCTAAAGTGCAGAGCCCAGAACTGGATGCAGTACTCCAGCTGCAGCCTCACCAGGACTGAGGAGAGTGGGAGGATGACTTCCTGGGTCTTGCTTGAGACACATCTACAGATGCAAGCCAGGGTTCTGTTTGCTTTGCTGGCTATGGCATTGCATTGGTGGCTCATGTTCATCTTGTGGTCAGTCATGATCCGCAAGTTCCTTTCAAACATGGTACTAGCAAGTGTAGCACTGCCAAGCCTATAATTATAATAGATTTTTTTTTTCCCAAGCACCACCTTGCATTTCTCAGCGTTAAATGCCATCAGGTTTTGATCTGCCCACCTTGGAAGCCTGTCCAGGTTGGCCTGAATCACCAGCCTATCCTCTAGTGTGACCACAGCATCGTTTAGTGTGCCTGCCTCCCTTGCAGGCTGGCACAGTTCCAGCCTGCAAGAGGCTGCTTGTGGACCCCCCTGCTCCACACACCCACCCCATTCCCCATGGCCTGAGGCCAAGGGGGCAGTGGGTCAGGAGTGAGGGGCACTGTGTCGGGACTGGCCACTGATGTTTACAAATGGGTCCTGGTACAAAAAAGGTTGAGAACCACTGCACTAGAGGATCTGAAGAACTGTTTGTATAATAAATTCAGGAGGCACTGGAGTAGTTGGGGGTGGGTGACCAATGATTATTAGCCTTCTCTTCCCCCCCCACCTTTGAATTAGACAGTTTTTATATAAAATATGTGTCTATGTGGGACTACTTAAATGTAGGAGCAGTTTCAGTGTGTTTAAAAGGTGCATGATGTTCAAGGAATTGGTAGCATCTCTAAGGTATAATGAAACCTAATTCTCAGGCTTGAAGGCTTAATTTTCTTTTGTCATTAAAAAACTTGATTGGTACCAGTGTTACTAGGTTTTACTATTTCTCCATTTTTTACTCCTGTCTGCTGAAGCCAGACTATGTTGTTTTTTCTCATATTGAATAGGGTCACATGCCACAAGTAGTACTCTTGAAATAAATGGAATGATTTGTGCAGTAAGATGAGCAAGGGCATTATAACTGTAAGGGCATTGTAACTGGTTATTGTGATAAATTGAAATACTAACTCCGTGTGCTTTTTCTATTGAGGTAATTACATCTAATATCAAATCAGACCCTAAAATTCTATTTAAAGACAAGTTCTGGGAAGGATGCTCAGACTCTACTCCACCTATTAGGGACATTTTTTTTTCTTCTGATCTGCACATGTAATGATGATATTTGTACCCAGAGTAGCAAGTTTTTCTCCTCATTGACAATACTGTTTGATTCGGCACCCTCTTCACATAAGAATACTGAAACAGGAAATAACTTGTTGATGTTAAAAATGTAAAGATGGACACAGAGATATATAGCATGAAAAATGACATCTCCAAAAGCATGCTACTCTTTTTTTTTCCATCTAGTAAAATGAATGCTAACTTCATGTGACTTCCACCATCTGCTCAAATCTGCTTTACTACTGCTTTCTTCTATCAACCCACCCCACTCCATTTGTGTGTTTTCTCCATTTGTTATATATCTCCTATCTACCTTTTGCAAAAGGAGGTACTGGTCATGTTTTTTTATAATTTACTCATACAGTGCCCTCATTCAATGATTCTTTATTGGCAGTTTCTAGATGCTAGTACAATGCAAATAAATAATGCTTGGAATTAACATGAAAACATCTCTATCCAAACCCAGATGCTTTTAAGTCCCTCAAGTTTATTTTTCATTAAGAAACTATGTGGGCATGTCTACATAAGATGCTATGTCACAGTGGCAATAAGGTATGGCAATGTAGCTTGTTGCTACATTGACGTAGCATTGGCAGGCATGTTCGGGAAAAATTGTGCCTTTTTAAACCAAATCTTGAAGCTGGCCTAAACAACCGCTTCTCCTCAGATTTCTCCCCGAAAGGTAAGGCGGATCTTGGCCCTGTCCATATCTGTCACTGGTTTAATTAATAATCACTAATAGGAAGAATTGTAATACACAAATGGAACAGTTTATTATAAAACTGACAAGAACAGGTAAGTATACAATTAAACAGAAACACAATAAAACTGACATGAACAGGTAAGTATACAACTACACAAGAACACATTTAGTCCTAACAGTTGTAATTATCTGTCAAATTCTATATTGATACCTAACTACAACAACTAAAATGAGAGGACTGAACTTTATTATAAAGGACAGGGGAACTTTATTCTGTTTGGCTCTCGTTGTTGAAGCGGAGATGATTACACCTCAGGCAGTGGTTTCTAATCTTCGTTGGACACACGCCGAGAAGAAAAAGAGCCTTAATACCCAGGAGGGAATGGGGTAATGCTTGCCAAACAGAGCAGAGGACCACTACTTTGCATGAAAGATGCACCTGGAGAGAAAAGCCTGGGAAGCCAACCCTTCCTGCTCCAGTGGTGGACAGAGGATCCTTCACGGTGACTGGCCCTGGCACCAGGAACTTTCGCAGTCCACACAGTTAACTGGCAACTCAGCCTCTCCATCTCTCTCTCTCTCTCCTTTCTGTCCACAAGCACCCTGACTTTTTTTCCTCTCACAGTCCAGCCACACCACGCACCCTAAACACCAAGCTCAAACGCGCCCAGTCCCACACACACATGCCCAGACACACACACACAGTTTCTGTCAATCAAAACCCTTTATAGGGGTAGTGCAACCGCAGTGCAGTGCACCAGCATGTGGGTGTGCACACAGCACTTTATTCATTATATCTAAGGGTGTCATATGGAAAATTACTAAACTTAGGACCAGCATGGCATCATTGGTCCTACTTACAGTCTCACCTGTGAATGACCTTACCAACCTAAATGAGCCAGCCATTAGCACCTTAATTTGCTCTCAACAGGCACACACCATGACACTGATGCTACTGAACAGTAGCTTGCTATTGTGTAGTAGGGTCGGAAATTATCCATATAACACTGGGACTATGCCATAATGGCTGTTACTGCACAGCCATTAAGTATTTGCTAAAGCACTTGCTAAAGCAAGTCCTAAATGACTGTACAGTAAAAACGGTGGGGTCAGGGGCACATGTAGATGCACCCTGTATGAACTGAAATAGGTTGAATACCTAAGCTTTGCAAATTCTAACTGTAAATCTTAAGGATATTTTAGCACAGAGGTTTTGGCTGTAGGCCACTTAAGAGAAATACTCTAATCATTTTCCAGTTGGAGGGGAAAAATCTTCA